TAACTGTCAGGGTAGTCAAACACTGGACTAAATTGCTCAGGGAGGTTGTGGAATCCCCATCTCTGGAGATATTTAAGAGTAGGTTAAATAAATATCTATCAGGGATGGTCTAGACAGTATTTGGTCCTGCCATGAGGGCAGAGGACTGGATTTGATGACCTCTTGAGGTCCCTTCCAGTTCTAGTATTCTATGAACCCTGGAGCTGGACTTTTAATACTCCAGTCATCTGAAAAAGTTGGCTGTACCCACAAAAGCCCATGATACCATCTATATGTGTATTCTTCAAGGTGCTACTAGACTATTCATTGTTTTTTAAGCTTTTCAAGTAAATTTCTTAATAAGAACACTCCTCATTGTGAGGCATCGTAGATAGAAAACATGGGGAACGAAAGTAAGAGAGAAAGCAAGGAAGGGGGAAACATTTTCTGTTTAGAATGATAAAAGAATATGCGTGGGCATGCATGAATTTTATCTTTGGATTTTATGAATTAAGTGGAAAAAAAAAAGCTTTTTCCGTGAGACTGTTTCAAAGCTGTATAACCAGGTATGACTCCCATAAAAGTCTCTAGGCCTTAAGCAGTAATAATGTCAAGTCTTGTGTAAGAGCTGTTGATCTCGATATCCCCTGGAGGTCAAAGTGTTGAAGTTTTACATGTCCAAGAAAATGGTAATTAGAAGCCTATAAAAAATCAGAATGTGGAACTTCTCACAGATACATGAGAATCCACTGAATATTTCATGGAGAAGTCCAAAATTGCCTGTTGCTATCATCTCCATTGTAGATTTAGGACAAAAATTGCAATGTGATGTTTTCACTGTGCTTATCTGTAATAAAGACCAACTCACTCTCAATTATGAGATCAACTGTTGCTGGCCAGAATGTATGACCATTGCTACTGCCACTCCAAAGATTACTGAAAAGGTAGCATGGCCAGTACTTCAACAGATAGGAACTGAAGAATAACTGCCCATAGTTAATGATACCAATAACAATCTTTAAGTGTGGAAGTGATTCTTATTACCCAAAGGTAATAACATAAAATACAGCATCAAC